TTGTGGATGGAGAGCTGGAATGTCCGGATACAGGAAGGAAATTCCCAATAAAAGATGGCATTCCCAACTTGTTAGTCAATGAAAATGAAGTTTGAAGTTTGAATGAACGCTTGGTCTGGATATGACCACTAAAGGCAGTGGGCACAATGACTGGGGGTGGGCGGTTACTGCCGGCATCATTAATGGAGGTGCTGCGAGACCACACTCCACTCAGCCCTACCACCAATGACGTTGCTAGTAACGCCCCCCCCCCCAGCCATCGTGCCCACTGCCTTTCAAAGGAAAAGTGTATCTAATTCAACGTTGTGGTTTTGGCGCTGTGTCCTGGTTATGTTTATATGTTCCTTTATCCAATTTGTATGTGTGCTTGTTGATTGTTACTCCTGTTATCGTTGAGAAATTGTAAAAATTCTTTATTATTATTTTTGAATGAGTTCCATTGAACACCGTGTGTTTTCTTCTTTTGTGGAATGAATTGTTCGGCTTCACTGAGACTTAACCTTCGTGGGTGATCGCTTCTTTATGTAGGCCTTATAAAAGAATTCGGCGAATAGGTAGAGGTAGCTGAGGTACATGAGACCACCGATTGAGAGGACATTCCAGCTAAAATGAAAAGATTTTGGAACGACATTATGTCGTCACTGAACGAGCAGTGACCGAGACACATGGCAATGGGGCGTGCGGTCGCGCAGCAGCTGGCCCAGTCGCTACCGCACGCTTGATTGCAACCAGATGCGGATGCATTATATAATTCTATGCAGATGACTTGCTTACCTTACAGCACAGTTTGGAATTTGATTGTAGCTTTTGATGATAACAAGATGTGCAAAAATATAACAGCTGATAACAAATTGTGCAATCTGAATCGTGGTGATGAATTTCGCAACCGGTCGTGGTGTTTCGATTTTCATCGCTCGAACTCCAAAATAGCTGAAAAAGGGAAAAGTTAGGTAACAATAGGACAAACCAAAGACTGTTATATTTTGTAAGAAGCTTGTTTTCTGTCATTTTGCACTTGACTTAGGTCCACAGGAGAAGAATTTCTGCTGTACGGCCAGAGGGAAGGGGGGGGGGGAGGGCACTCTGCAATCTTAGCTATCTTGTTGGTAGTTCATGTTAAATGACATGCCTCAATTTGATGAGACCTGTAAACTCTCGTGAAGCAACAAAGTGGTACAAGAGGGTCACTTTAGTCACACTAAATGGCGGGTCTTCACAAGGTGACCTGTACAGCTTCGCTGAGTACCATCCGTTGCCCCCACTACTCCGAAAAATTGTATTCACATGTGCTATGCCCCTAAGACCACTCCGGTTATCTGCAGCCTTGTCTCAAAACGAGCTTCTAGCGTGAATTTGTTCCGCCGATAAAAGATCCTCATCTAATGCGGCTTATCTGCAGCCTTATGTCTCGTGAATTTGTTCCGCCGCTTTAAAAGATCCTCATTAAAGCGGTATTTGTTCGAATAACTAAGCAGAGGCTTGTGCCCTGCCTCACAAATGGCTCTATGGGTCAGCGTACATCATTGCCCTGAGAATCCTATCAGGAGGTCATATTTAGTCGCTAGGAGGGGTCATATTTGAGTTTTGGGAGAACTGCTTCTTCTGACGATTTTCCACCTTCCATGCGCGTTACACCTCCCACAAGTTGGCAAAGCGACAAAGTTACTAGTTGCAGTAGACAAACGGAGCCTTCTATTGCCCCTCCCCCCTCATCTAAAAAACTTCGTGAGATTGTGGGTGAATAGTTTAGCATGGGGAGAGTCGTACCGACAAGGTCATGTTACTCATTCTGATGATGTACTCTTCTAGGAGTACTGGGTTTGAAAAAAAACTTGATGTAAAATTTACTTACAAGTACATGATGGTGTGTACAGTAAGGTTAAGAGCAAGTGACCATCGGGCCCAAGCCTGATGCTCAGAGTAGCAGATGGCGGCGTAGACGAATGTGAGTGCATGATGATACCAGTGCATAAAGATCACTGGTTTCTTTCTGAAATTATCCAGTCAATCACTTGTAACGGATCACACAAAGTATTAGCACACAAACTAATCAATAAGACAAATTCAAAATCCTTTAATAAATTTAGTGATTCAAAACAGCGTACCTCAGTACGAGGAACAAAGTGTCACCGAGTTCCGGTGCCTTCGACATCACAAATGCCCATCCCCAGAAACCCGTTGATGCATCCGTATAGTATTCATTAATATTACAGTAGGAACCTGGAAAATGGTACAAATTCATAATTTTTTGGAAGAATATTAGAGAAGATGCTGAGTCTCTAGAAGCCTCGGTAGGTTGAATTTTTCATAATTTGGATCTAATATTTTTCATATTTGGACTTGTATTGAAGCACAGCTTCACTAGGGCTGCGCCACGCACTACAACTCCATTCCAAACCGTTGAGGCATTTTGAATCTACATCTATACGCTGCGCCTATAGCTGAATGTGCCATGCATTCCATTCCTCTCCGGAACTATTCGCGTTTGAGTGTGTTTTGGACCTCCGTAGAGCCTGATTAGTGGGCCACTGCCATCGCGACCTACGGAGGCGCCAGCGCACATACCATTATTCAGCCCCATTCTCCGTTTCCTGCTCCAGTCTTCTATAATAAAGCCATTTTTTTCCTGTGAGGGCAAATTAGGCCTGAAAAAGTGGTTTGACCGATGAACATGTATGTCACA